CTTCTTCAGAGCTCAAAACAACAATCGAAGCTTCTTCCCAACTTTAATCTCCACTCAATTACAACAAAACCAGCTCGTAGATTCAGGAACTACTTGGCAAAATCAAAACCCTAAAAAGAGACCTTAAAAGCTATAAATTCGATTGAAAATCCCATGAAATCGAAGCTCACCTGAAGAGAAGACGAAATTGAGTGATTAATGAATCTAATGACCGGCGACGAGATCTAGAAAAGGAATCTGAAGTGACTAAGAGAAGAAGCAAAGATTTCGCCGGCGGCGATATTGAAGTATGTGAAAAACGCGGGAAGATTGGGCAGAAACTGATTGTTCGTGGTTTCCAAATGTTTGGTCACAAGAGGAATACTATCCCCAACGTGGAGGTATAATTTACTAAAAGCCCAATAGGCCTTATGGGCCTGCTTGTTTTATGATAATAACCCATCAGTGATACTAATATACATAGGTTAATATAGGAAAATCAAACGCCGATCGATGTATTATTACTGGTTTTTAGGGCAATACAAAATTGTAAAATGAATACCAATGGTGTTGGCATCTGTAAAAAAACATGTAGCTATTATCTTTGGGGCCAATAAAGCAGTATCTTATGGGCCTATTAAGGCCCAATAATACATCTGTAAGAAACACGGAACTGGCAAAAGGAGGGAGATAAGGAGAAGAAGAAGCGAAACAAGAAAAGTGTGACAAAGAAGAAAAATGGGGAGAGACGGAGGAGACAAGAAGCGAGAAACAATGGCGGTGATGAGCTTAATGAAGGATCAACAGAATCCAATTCAACAGTTTCAGATCAAATTCAAGGAGATTGAGACTGGTTTCAAGTCTTGGTTGTCAAAACAGAAGTTGCCGGTGGAAGCCGCCGTAGTCACCGCCATAGGCGGTGTTCAGGGAGCTTTTATTGGTGGTCTAATGGGTACTCTCTCCCCTGAAATGCCTCAGGCTGGTATTGACCCTCAAGCTATGGCTTCGTTAAAGCAAACTCAGGTTTTTAAATCCTAATTTTGATTCACTGGTTATGTCACTTTCAGTTAGTTATTGCTAATTTTTGAAACTTTTTTTGTAGGCTCTTGTTGGTGGGCCTTTGGTTCAAGCTCGGAACTTTGCTGCTATAACTGGTGTTAATGCTGGTATTGCTTGTGTTATGAAACGGATTAGAGGCAAAGAGGATTTAGAATCTGCGTAAGTTTTCATTTTGATCTTTGAATAGTTGTAGCTTAATTTGTATCTTGTAGCTTGTATTGTATTGTGTGTGTGAATTGTTGTTTCTTGGTTCTGACGTTTTTCATCAGTGATCTAGGACTTAACGAATCCTAGAAACTCAATTTTCGGAGCTGTTGTTAGAGACAATTAGTGTCTGCAAGTAGTGTTTATGTTTTGCAATTGTCATTTTTCTGATCAACAGTTAGGTCTTAATCAGATTCTCTGTCACAGGATTGATTCCATGACAGGAAAAAAAGATGACTTTGCTTATTTTTTTCATCATTTATTGCTTCATTGAGTTACAATCTCTACCCGAGTTAGTTCGTTATGATTATTCTGATACTTAAAATGATTCACTGTTCTTGTAGGGCTTTGACTACTTGTGTGTGTTTACTTTTGAAACAACTTATATACAATCTTTGATGGGTGAAGATTCTTAGTGGCTTATTTGTTTGTTAAAACTCGATGGTTGAATTGTGCAGTGTGGTGGCAGCATTCGGATCAGGAGTTGCGTATTCTCTTGTGAGCGCAGGATTACAAGGACAACCTATGAATGCAATCACCACTGCTGCTGGTTTCGCTCTTTTTCAAGGAGTATTTTTCAAGGTAAGTGATCATATAGGAGATAAAACTCTTCTTGAAACTAGACAGGCACGTCATTAGTCATAAGTTTATATTCTCTTCTTTTCGGTCGTGGTCAGTTGGGTGAAAGATTCTCTAAACCAAGTGTTGAAGATCCATATTACACCCGGGGCAGATCTATGTTGTTGAAACTGGGTCTAGAGAAGTACGAGAAGAACTTCAAGAAGGGTTTATTAGCAGACCCAACTCTGCCATTGCTCACTGATAGGTACTGTACTATCTTGAGCTTCTGAGGTTTCATAATCTGTTTCAACTAAAGCTAACTGTCTATATCGAAATCGTATACCCGCTAAACTCTGTTTGTGTCCAGTGCGCTAAGAGACGTGAGCATCCCGCCTGGACCAAGGCTACTGATACTTGATCACATCCAAAGGTTCGAATCTTATCTCTCTATTTTGAGAGACATGAATCTGTGAAATCACTGAAGTGAATTGAATTGTGGTGATTATACAGGGATCCTGAGCTAAAGGGCAAACGGGGAAGTCGTGGTTGAGAATTGAGAGCCTCTCTGTTTCTTCCGCAGAATCGTTGTCTTTCTTTGTAATATGTTATAAGGATTTCAAGCACTATTATTCTTAATTATTATTATTGGTTGATGTTGCTAGCAAGAAACTTTGAATACAACCTTAAATATGGTCGCCATATCTAAAAGTTCAAAGATTTCTATATGAACCTGGAAATGGTTGAAATGGATAACACAATAAAAACTCTTAATCAGTAATGTGAACATTTAAAGCCAAACATTAAGTAACCATGTTATTAATTATTCAGTTTAACAGAAACCAAAACACACAAGTTGTATATCTTTCATGAAAAAAGTGTATATAAGCTTTGTGCTGTCGAGCTTTGGACCCGGAAATAGAAGATTGACCTCAATTTTAACCTTTGTGGTACAACAGAATTTTTGTTTAGATGTGAATTTATAGTGTATATATAGAATTATGTAAATGTTTTATTAATTTCAAAAATGTATTCCGCTGCCGGGTTTTGAACCCGGAAATAGAAGATTGACCTCAATTTTAACCTTTGTGCTACAGCGGATCTTTTGTTTAAATGTGAATTTATAGTGTATATATATAATTATGTAAATGTTTTATTAATTTCAAAAATATATTTTGCTGCCGGGCTTTGAATCCGGAAATAGAAGATTGAACTCAATTTTCTTGTTGTTAGATCGTATCATATTGCTACTTTTTCGTCTTATTGGCAAAATTTATATGATATAATATATGAATCTTGTTTTTTTTTGGAGAATCCATAGTGGTTAATTTAATTTTTAAATTGTTTAATTAGATTTTATGGCAATTTCGGATTGGTTAATTAAGATGTGGTGGATAAGAGAGGTTCATCCCTAGAGATGAACTAAAAAATTGTTCTTTAGGAAATTTATAGTCTCAATAGCTAAAAATTCACATCAACTTTCTATATGAACCTAGCAATGGTTGAAATGCATAACCCAACAGAAACTCTTAATCAAGCAAGCAGTAATGTGATCACTTAAATCCCAATTCTAAATGATCATGTTATTAATTCAATATTTAAGAGAAACCTGAACACGTGGATTTTGAGTTTTTAACTAATTTATGATGGGTTTTAGTCTTTTAGAAACCCAACATTTGTGTGGTTATCAAAAATCTGTATAACTTTAATTTGCATCATCTTTCTTACTCAAGCTAAACATCTGAAAAGGGAAAAGAATATATCCAATTTAAGTGTTGTAACCATGAACTTGAACGCGTTTGTTAAGAAACTTGTTATTACTCAGAATACTTTAGCATTTTGCTCATGTTGAATCTCTTGTTTCCTAATTATAGTTTAGTTAGTGTAACGAACCTCCTTGTACTTCCTTTTCACATTAACTTGTGCTTAATGACTATGTTAATAAAAATATCTTCACTAAAATAATAAGCAAAAATCACGTAACAAACCATATGAAATGTCATTATCGTCGGTGGCTCGTGAATGGTCTTTTTTTTTTAATCCTATCGGCTGATCCGGTCGGTCTCGGTAGGAACGCACCGAGGTGCTACAGAGTGGACTTTTCCCGATCCAGGTAGAATTGGGCCACCACACTGCCTGATCCGAGTTTGGAATACCTTCCGACTAATGCCAGGGGTAGTCAGGCCGCCTGCATTTCTGACTACCAGGTAAACCAGTTGGGCCTTGACCTCCCAAACAAATGTGTTTTTGTTTCCAGAGAGAATCGAACTCGGGTCTAGGAGTTTCACCCTTCACCAAAGCTTCCTCTGCCACTAGACCACAGAAGCTTGGGCTAGAAAGAAAGTACTTGGCTTTAAGAATGAATCATATATTCTTAATTGGATATGCTTTCCCTTATATTCATGAGTCATGACGTCTTCTTTATAAAGTTGGTTCAAGCAGGTTAACATATACATATAATAATGTTTTCAAGAAAAATATAAAGATAAACAAACCGCATGTAGTTTCACATATTTGAGTTGTTGAAACCATAACCATCCTGAATTCCCTAAAAAGATCGATTGCGTTTCACCATTCAAAATTTTGGTTGTAGTTAGAAAATAGTATTGTTTATTTTCTATTTTATTTATGTTAGGTATCACATCGACATCTAAAAACATTTGATATAAACACATATTCATGAAAATGACTCAAATTGAAGGCATGTAGATGTGAGGTCTTATGTCATATATGGAACATTTTCATTTGCCCACGAATTAGCATAAATACAACCTTCTGTTTTTACCTTTCGAATTTTTTTTTCTGGTAAAGATCACATTAGCTACACCATCCTTATAGGTCGCCGAATCTTTTGATTAAGACACATTGTTTTCAAGATTATAAACAAGCTTCAAGCTCGATGTCAAGCTCCTTCTTAAGAAAACTTAGAATAATTTCAAAATAAAATGCATAATTTGTTTTATTTAAACTTCATCAAACTCTACACAGACCAAAACCAATGTTGCATGGACAGAGATATCAACGATTCAACGGAAGCCAACAACTTCTTCATAGACGCATGGATGAAAATAGTCACCAAGTAATCTAGGAAAACCAAAATCTCAATTTGTAAATAAACTTTTATCAAACGTGTTATTTCAATTACTCTAGATTACCTTATAATAAAGAAATTTAGAGCTCTTTTGATAAAAATTGAGTTATTTCTAACCAAAAATCGAATATCTTCTGCTTTATATTCAATGACTTTCATCCATCACCTTTTTCAACAAGATCAAATTTTCTTTTGGATTTACGATATGATAAGCCCCCAAGATGAGCCAGTAACAACATTGATTTTTGTTTATATAGAAATTTCCAAGGAGAAATTCAATATATAGACAAAAATAAAAACCTCTACATATTGGCAATGAACCAATTTGAGGATACATCCATGCATGATCCAACAATCTAAGAACCTATCCTTTACACAAATATCTATTCTAGGGAGAGACAGAGTCGGAGGAGAAACGAGAGAGCTCTTTCGTAAGGAAGATGATGCGAGAGTGGTAATCGCGCGCCTGGTCTAAAGATTCGGCTTCAAGCTCAGCCAGCTGAGAGCAAAGATGCTCCTCAGCCTCCTCAGCCACCTGCGTCCGCCGCCACAACTGCACCATCTCTTTCCTCATCTCCTCCACCGCTTTTTCCATCTCTCCGTTCTTCTGTCGTAGCTCCTCCACCTCCGAAGCCGCCACCATCACATAGTTGCCTCCTTTCCCCATTTCCTCTCTTTTTATTTGATGTTTTTTTGATGATTTCTCTTTTCTTTCTTTTTGTGTCTCTTTACGTTTTTGTTTGTTGTTCTTCTTATTCTTTTGGTAATTGATTGTTCCTTATATAGGCGTCTCTGCGACTGGTCTTTGGGTGGTGGGTATATGTCTAGATTCATTGATATCTCTTGTTTTTCGTTCTTATTTATGGTTGGTTATTTTTTTTTCCTCTAGAACATTTTCTTTTTTAATAATGTTCCGATATATACGTTGGATCCAATAATATAACATGTGAGTTCTTTTTAGCAAAACTATTTTGTAGACTTGGGTAGGAGGATATTCGAAAACTTTAACACCTACAATTTCATCTATTTGATATTTACTATTTAGCAAAAAAAAAAAAAAAAAAAAATTTAGACCAATCTTTTTACGGGAGACACTATTACTATTGAATCTATTGTAGGCTTTAATAATAGGGAGGCCATAAAATGTACTTCGTCCATTTTTTTTTTTTCTGATGTTTAAGGTTTTTCATTTTTGTATATCGATTAAAGAACTATTTAAATTTTTTATGTATTTTTAAATGAAAACAATTTTTTTTAAATTTTCGTATCGAGAAAGCTGATCTATAGCCAATCTTTACTACGCGAGATAATGCAGTTTAGTGGAATCGAACTCTGGTGAGGAAGGTAGAGTCAAATGGACTTAACCAAAAATAAAGTAATAAATCATATGAAATGTCATTGGCGGTGCCTCGTGAGTGGTCGTTGTGTTTAAAAGAGCAAAAAAAAAAAAAAAAAAAACTTGTAGTGTTTCGGTTATACAAATGTTTCATCTTATATTCATGACGTTCTCTATTTTGTTTCACTCAAATATTTTACATGAACATATAGCATATAAAATGCTTTCAAAAAGAAAAGCTAATAGTCTAATTAGTGACACAAACCAATATATATTTTTAAGACTATAAGATATCAATAAAAGAGATGACGATATATTTACAAGCGGTAAAAGTAAAACTAATGGTAAAAGGTAGCAATACGATAAATAAAAAAAATGATAATACCACCGTATGTATACTTATACCACGACGGTAAAACATCATCAGTGAAAAGATGCAGATCTGTTTGGCTATCCTAAATTTCCTAAAGAGACGGATTGCGTTTCACCATTCAAAACTTTACTTGTAGATAGAAAAATGGATAATTGTTTATTTTCTATTTTGTAAATGTTAGGTATCACATCGACATCTAAACCAATTAATATAAAACACATACTCATGAAAATGACTCCAAGGCATGTGAGTATGTGAGGCCATATATCAAATATGTGATCTTTTTATTTGCCTACCAATTAGCAAATCCTTCTCTTAAGGGTGTAGCTTTCCAATTATTTCAGGAAAAAGATCACATGACATTAGCTCCACCATCTAATAGGTCGCCGAATCTTTTAAATAAGGACACATTTTCTTCAAGCCTCTCTCTTTTTTTTGCTAATAAATTATTAATCTAAATATGAATTGCACATATTTGTTTTTTTGTTCACAACTTGCTTATATAAAACAAACTTCAACTTTTACCAAAAATAAAATAAAACTTCAACATATACGCATGGATTAAAGTAGTCCCAAAAACTTAAAAACAAAATCTTTATTTGTAATTGGTCATCATTTCACATGTAAAAAAGAAAAGAGAAATACGAAACATGAACATAATTGTTTTTAAAATTTCTTTCAAATTCTATTTCTTTTGTTAAAGTAATTAACACGTCTTATAAACAAAAAAAATCGATTTATTTCAAACCAAACATCGAATATCATTTACTTTATATTTTCAAAGACTTTTCATTCATCACATTTTTTTTCCAACAAGATCCATTTCTTTAAAGATTTACCATATGGTATTCGAATTTCGCTAAACGCCCGACGACTAATCGCAAAAATCAATCGGTAACAACATCGACTTTTCTTCTGTTTTGGTTGAAATTTCCATGGAGAAATTTTCCATTAAAAAAAAAAAAAGACAATTCTACATATTGGCATTGACAGAGCCAATAAAAGATACATCAAACAATCTAAAAAACCTATATTTCTATCTATTCTAAGGAGAGGCAGAGACAGAGTCTGAAGAAAGACGAGAGAGCTCGTTCATGAGGACAATGATACGAGAGTGGTAATCACGAGCTTGGTCTAAAGATTCAGCTTCAAGCTCGGCTAGCTGAGAGCAGAGACGCTCCTCCGCTTCCTCCGCCACCTGTGTCCGCCGCCACAACTGCAACATCTCTTTCCTCATGTCCTCCACCGCTTTTTCCATCTCTCCGTTCTTCCGTCGTAGCTCCTCCACTTCAGAAGCCGCCACCGTCACATAGTTTCCTCCTTTCCCCATTTTAAAGATTTCTCTATCTTCTTTTTTTGTTACTTTGAGTTGTGTTTTTTTTTGTTGCTTTGTGTTTTGTTTGGGGTTCTTGAATGTTCCTTATTAATAGGCGTCTTTGAGACTGGGGTTTGGGGTGGGTTTATGTCTAGGTTCAATATATCTATATCTTTTGTTCTTCTTTTTATTTCTGGTGAGTTATTTTCTTCATCTAGAACATTTTCCGATATACACGTTGGATCCAATTAATAGTATTTTGGAATATTTTAGTGGTACCATACAATTGTTTTATTGGTTAGAGACAAATATGTTTTTGGAGAAGACAAAATATAAGTTACAATAAAAATTATTAATCAATACAGTAAAATATATGTGTTCAGTTATATAATTCTAGTTATTTCAATATTACAAATGCCAAAAACATTTAGAAAAATGAAAAATATTTATCTAAATTGATACATTTTTAAAAATGGAGTATTTTGCAAGCTAAAAATGAATATTTTAATCAATGACAATAGATATTCTTAGTCCAATTAACAAAATGGATTAAAACATAAATGTTTTGGACCCTTTTACTTTTATCTAGTTGCTATACATATAAAGTAATGAATATTTCATAACATGTTATTATTTATGTGGACATCTAAGTTATCAATTGGAAATCGTGCACGTGGATAGTTTTATCATAAGAGAGATTCAATTATTTACTGTTGAGCTATGGTTTAGGCTTTTTTTTTTTTTTTTTTTTTTTTTTTTTTTTTTTTTTTAATGGTTTAGGCTTGCATCTAGTTAATTAACGCTTTTCATGTTTTCATGTTTACTGGACCATAATTGATAATGATTCGATCAATTTATACAAGTGTAAACCATAGCTCGTAAGTAAGTAATGAAAAATTGTTACATTATAGACCCACTGAGCTGTCAATTTCATCAAAACTAACTATATATGTTGATAGATCATAATAATACATCATCTCGAAAGTGGTCCTAAACTCAGGATTAAGATGTTCAAATATGTTTTCATATACGTATGTAAAAAAATAAAGATTGTGATGATTCAAACGATATTTATATTTATATATATCCACCAACTCTTTATCCTCAAAAAATATATATATCCGTAAAGAAAATATATATCCGCTGCAAAAAAATTTTTGTAAAGCAAGTTCGGCCCAATATTCTTATTAATTTGATCAATCAAAATATTTATGTTTTAATCCATTTTTGCACTTGAAAAATTAATTGAACTATTTCTTACCATAAATTGAACAAAATTTCGGAAATTGCTTTTTGAAGCATCCAATTTTCAAAATTTAATATATTCATTAAAAAAACTTAATTAAAAAAACTCATGGGTTTGTGTTTTCAAAAGCTTAATTAATTTTCAGAAACCACCAAACTAATCGTTGAATATATTTTCTTGGCGAAAACGTTGACTGGACACTAAAAAAATTAAAGAGTATTTGAATTTTCAATGGAAACCCCACTTATTTAATAGGAGAAACCCTCTTTAAACTTCTTTTTTTCTGTTTTGCTATTTCATAGAATATGGAGAAAATATTCTATGAAAAGAATATGGAGAAAATATTTGTTTTCCACTACTTCTCTTAATTGCTAAAAGGAATGTTGGAAATCATTTTCTCACCTTTATCTTTTCCACTAATATCTTCCGTCAATTATAGCCATTAACTTGGAGCACAAAGCCTTTGTCGATGTAACCCACATTCCCACTTCTTTCTCTTAATTAGACAATATCTCCCAAAGTCAAGGGCTGTCACGATTATACAACTATTCTTGTATAGTTAAAGTTACGGCTCCGATTGTTAGTTCTTAAATTACTTATTGGCTATTTCTTTATCGGTCTGTATATAGGGAAAACTAAGAAGACTTTGGTTATGAATGGAACAATGGTGTCAATGTGTCATGATCATGAAGATAATAAAATAATGCAGTGGGGTTTAATTTTGAAAATATAATATTGGTTAAATCTTGAAAATCGAATTAGAAAATTAATATTGCAAAACACAGAGTGGCTTGTCACCAACTGTTGAAATCTTTAGTTTGGAATATGCTCTATGGATGCTGATCAGTGATCACTATCTCCATAATATCTAATTAATTAAAAAATTAATCATTATTCGTCCAAAAATAATATCCCAAATAGAATTTAAAACACTCAATTACGTCACCAACTATGTTACGTGAGCAACATCGGTATACATGTAGAAAATAATTTCCAGTTTTGTAATATTGCAAGATCACCATAAAAAGGGTGAAAACAAAAATAATTCAAGAAGGAAAATTTGGTAGCATAGTGGTGGAGATAGTTTTTATATTTTAAGATCTTTACATTTCACCAAATTGAGGAAGATGAAAGTTTAAAGAAATTGGCCAAGAAGCTCGAGACCTTAGGCCCTTGTTAAATTAAATAATTTACTACAAAAAAAAACTGTCCAATAGCTAGCCAGCGATGTGTAAAATTAGCTAAGTGTATGAGTTTGCACAATTTCTTAGTCCATTTAGGGTAAAACAGTTAATTTATACACAAGCTATGAATTTCTCTTACAATATGTACATGAACTATTGACATGTGTAATCTCTAAAATAGATGGTAGTTAATCTCTAAAAAATATAATATTTGAACAACAGTTTATGTTCAAAACAACAGTTTAATGAATCATGATATTGGATTCAAATAACTCGAGTAACTAAAATATTTCTAAAATAATAGCTTGACTAATGGGATCATATATATATGATATAGATTAGTCATAGTCATTCATATCCAACCTTTGGAAATTCCAACTGAGAGGAGAAGAGTAGTTGGGATATGTCAAAACTCTAGACATAGATTCTAACTCTTTCATCATCTTCTCTTTAGTTTCAAGCTTGCAGGTTGATTTCATAGAAATTCCAGCTCTCTTTAAACACTTAGGCTTCAATTAGTAACCATAATTTAGGAAAAGAATGAGAAGGAATGTTAGATTCCTCTTTGTTCCTCAATATTTTTATCATTTACATGTAATATTTTTTCCACACCATTCCTCACCAAAAGAGGAACACTAGAACAAAAATGTTCCTCTCCAAAATTGATGAGGAACAAATGAAACAAAAAAGGAACAAATATTAAAATTCGTTTTTATTTTAAAATAAATAAAAAAATAAAGTTTATCAATAATATTTGTATTTTATTATATAATAATTTTCATATCTTCACAATATATTAACAGAAAAAATATTTTTGATAAGAATTTCATGTTGAATTACTCTTAAGACTTCACTTGAAAAATATATAAATAGTAAAATAAATTTAAAAATGTTTATATTGTAAAAGAATAATATATTTTAAATTATTCTTTCAATTTTATTTTATGTTAATATTAAATATTATTATTTAAAATGATATATATATATATATATATTTAGTTCACAAATTTTTTCAAATACAAATTTTCAAATTAAATAAATATAAAAAATACTTAGTATTTTTCGTTGAAATTTGATTTATTTACTATTTAATATATCTTTAAAGATATTTTTAATGTTTGGTTACCATTCATCATAATAGTACATTTTATTCATTCCCTGCATCTTTTCTTTTCCGTTCCTCAAAAATTGTTTATTCCATTCTGCATTGTTCTTTTTATTCCTTTTCTTTTTGTTCTTTTAATGGTTACCAGTCGGAGCCTTAGTGTTGGCAAAGATATATTTTATGGCTTCTTGCTCCTTGCTTAGTCCTATATATCCTTTCCACTCAAAGATCTCGAGATGAGCTGAGAAACATCCGAGAACAGAACTCGGTTTTTTCCATGAAAGTGAAAATTTCTCATCAAGTCGAATTAATGTTTGTGAAGCAACAACAAAAGATATATAAAGTAAACACTTAGTTATTCTTTTCTCTTTATTTTATTGCTCTATCAAAATTGACATGAAAGAAACTACAAACCTGGTCGATGAAAAGAACTTTAAGATTAGGAGAATTTTGTAGCAATCCCATTAGTGATTCCAACCTGTCTAACTCAGCTAAAAGTATTACTTTACACTATATTAGCTTGGAAAAGTTAATAGCGTTACACCAAACAACCTACAATGAAGGCAATAACACATAGATAAGCGCTAGTTATATAATATATGGGACAATAAAAAAAGAGTGAAGTTGAAATAACGCTACACACCGTTGCAGTTCTCAAATCTAGTTCGAAATTCATGACTGAGGAAATAGATCTCATAAACTTATCATCAGGGTAACTTAAAAAGCCGATACTTGCTTTATCAAAACAAGGCTTGTTCTCAATCGAACAAGAATCTCCCGATATAATCTCTATAGAAATTTTTTTTTTAAAGTCGGGGAATCTATAACCAAAGATCCTCCTATTGCTTCGTTGTGCACTCCAAAATGATTAACATTAACATATATCAAGTATTCCAAAGATGGGACTTCTATATTGAAATTTCTAACGTTGTCTTGGTGATGTCGTTTTACCCACAAAATTTTGAGAATAGGACAATTCGATAAAAGCATAACAAGAGAATAGGTCTGTATTTTCCCTAAGAAGACTTTGGTTATGACTTATGAATGGTGTCATGATCATGAAGATAATAAAATAATGCGGTGGACTTTAATTTTGAAAATATAATATTGGTTAAATATTGCAAAACACAGAAGGACTGGTCACCAAATGTTGAAATCTTTTAGTTGGAATATGCTCGATGGATGCTGATCAGTCATCACTATCTCCATAATATCTAATTAATTAAAAAATTAATTATCATTCATCCAAAAATATCCCAAATAGATTTTAAAACACCCAATTACGTCTCCAACTATGTTACGTGAGCAACATCGGTATACATGTAGAAAATAATTTCCAGTTTTGTAATATTGCAAGATCACCATAAAAATGGTGAAATCAAAAATAATTCAAGAAGGAAAATTTGGTGGCATAGTGGTGGTGGAGATAGTTTTTATTTTTCAAGATCTTTTATATCTCACCAAACTGAGGAAGATGAAAGTTTAAAGGAATTGGCCAAGAAGCTCGAGACCTTAGGCCCTTGTTAAAACTAAATAAATTTGTGATCTATCTACTACAAAAAAAACTGTACAATAGCTAACAAGAGATGTGTAAAATTAGCTAGTGTACTAAGATATGACCCGCGGTACACCGCAGGCTAAAATATTTAATAATTTTACATTTTTATTTTAAGTTGATGAATTTTTTGTATTTATTTGGTATGTTTTTTGGGACCCTTTTTTATATGTTAATTTTCAAAAAATCTAGAACTTAACCGAGATAATATTTTTTTATATATATAATAATGTTAGATTTTGGTATTTTATTATTTAGTATTAAAGTTATATGAGTTAAACTTTTGGTATTTTTAGATTTAACATGTATAACATATGTAATTGAATAACTTAGTATTGCAATTACACATTTGGACGAAGATTAAAACTTTAAAAAACTTATTATATATATATATATATATATATAAATGTTAGATTTTTACGATAAATTTTATCTAATATTAAAGCTATATGATTACACTTTTTGGTTTAAGAGATTTAATCTGTAATTTAGATGTAATTTAGTAACTCAATTACACATTCAGAGATTGACCCGTGGGACATTAATGAAATCAGAATTTAGATATAAAATTCATATTTACCAAATTTAGTAAATTGACCCGTGGAACATTAGTGAAATCAGAATTTAGACCCGTGGAACATTACACATTTACAAAATATCCAAAATTAGATATAAAACTAATGAAAATCAAAACATACATAGAAACAAAATAAGAAAACAGAAAACATTTAGAGTGAATTACAAAATATATAAAAAAAAATATGATGTGATTTAGTATCAAAAATTAACCATATAAAACCTTTTATTGGTAAAACTTAGTTGATTAAAAATGATAACATTAGAATAATAAAAATTAAAAATAAGAATCTCATTTTATGTATAAAAAGAAATCATTTTCTTCTTACCCTAAAGAAAGAAGAAGAAAATGAATGAATTTGTTAGCCTTAAAAAATATATTTACAAACATTAAGATTGTGGAGAAGAAACATGAAAACGTTTGCAAAAAGAAACTGGACAATTGAAACAAAAATCGAAGATCAAATGATAAGAAGTACTACCAACTAATCTTTTAGTGGAGCATAAAAAATATTAGGTAACAACTAATTGTTTAAAAGAATAGTAACATGAAAATGATCATTTTTATTTTGCTTTGGAATGAAAAAATCAAAGTGTTTGGTTATGGTGTTTAGAAACTAAGATTGAAGAGGTATTTATAGATTACAATGAGTAGGTTAAATAAAATATTTTAATCATAAAATCTTGAAGATCAAGCAAATGGAATATATTCGAAATCTCTAAATAATTGGTAGTTTCTATTTTTCAAACTAATTACAAACTTTAGAATAATCTTTAGGTTTTTTTTTTTTTTTTTTTTTTGCAATCATAAACATTTCCTTAATTTGTTTCACTTTAATTTCCTGATATGGAGAAGATTTGAAGTTACGAAAATCTATCCAATGAAGCAAAAGAAATTTATCACTAAAATAATATGTTTTACAAAAGTTTAGAATATTTTCGATATTATAGAGATTTAACTATATATAGGCTTAATATTAACTTACCACATAATTATTTCCTTAATTAAAATCGTAATAACTATAAATATTGAAATCAAGATTCCCCATTTAAAATAAACTATCTATATATACAATTATATTTAATTCCGATATCTATGTTTTCCTTAATTTATATTTTTTAAATATACTAACCGAATTAGATTTATGCAAGATTTTGGTTAATTAAATGTCATTTGGATTTAATATAGGGATTATCAAATAAGGAATTATCCGATTTAAAAATTTTCGTTCAAATAAAGTAAATATGGAAGAATCCGAATCAAAGATTTCCGGGTCAAAATCAATTAAAACCCGACCCGATTAGAAGGAGCAAAAATGTTAAGTAGATGAGTATGAGTTTGCACAATTTCTTAGTCCATTTAGGGTAAAACAGTTAATTCATACACAAGCTATGAATTTCTCTTACAATATCTACATGAATACTGACATGTGTGGTTAATCTCTAAAAAAATATAATATTTGAACAACAATATATGTTCAAAACAACAGTTTCATGAATCATGGATTCAAATAACTCGAGTAACTAAAATATATTTAAAAATAATAGCTTGACTAATGGGACACATATATATGATCCATGATATCGATTAGTCATAGTCATTCATATCCAACCTTCGGAAATTCCAACTGAGAGGAGAAAAGTAGTTGGGATGTTGTCGAAACCCTAGACATAGATTCTAACTATTTCATCATCTTCTCTTTAGCTTCAAGCTTGCAGCTTGATTTCATAGAAATTCCAGCTCTCTTTAAACACTTGGAGTTGGCAAAGATATATTTTATGGCTTCTTTCTCCTTGCTTCGTCCTATATATCCTTTCCAATCAAATATCTCGAGATGAGCTGAGAAACATCAGGGAACAGAACTCGGTTCCTTCCATGAAAGTGAGAAATTCTCATCAAGTCGATTAATGTCTATGAAACAACAACAAAAGATATAAAGTAAACATTTAGTTATTCTTTTCTCTTTATTTTATTGGTCTATCAAAACTGACATGAAATAAACTATTCCCTCCGTTTCATAATGTAAATCGTTCTAAAAGTACACAGATTAAAAATATCTACTTTTAAAAATTCAGCCAATCATAAAATAAACTACATAATATAAATAATTATAAAATTTTAAGGTAATCTATATTATTAATTGGGAATCACTAAATATTAAATAACATTATGAAGAGTAAAATATTACAAAAAATACCATTGGTTTTTAGTGTTTTCAAATAACTTCATTAAGGGTACAATAGTAATCACAAAATTAATATATTTAAATGAAAAATAGTTTAATTCTTTTAAATAATTATTAATTTCCAAAAAAATAAACTAATTTTCTCTCTCTTATTAATTATACACGAAAATTTGAAATTAATTTTTAAAAAATTGTTAACCAATAAGAATTGAAAAACTAAGATTTTATCTAAACGTAATAAACTATTCTATATCAAAAATAAAAAGAAAAATAATATCATTTTAATTCAAAATTAAATACACTATCGTTTAAAAGATTTATCAATGGAGGACTTTAAGATTAAATTTAAAATTTCGTAAGAAAACTAAATACAAATATTTTAAGATTCAGTTTTGTTATAATATTTTCACAAATTTTAAAATATAAAACAAAATATTATTTCAAAATTTCTAAAATACGATATTAGATATTAACAACTATTTATATTTATGATGAAATAAACTCAAATAATAATAAATTTAAAGTAATTATCATTATAGCCTTCGTTTAGAGCAAGTTTGATAAATATCTAACAGTAGATTGTATATATTAATTTCTAAATTATTTTGCGTTTTATTTTTTGTTTTTCAACCGGATCTTCCTTAAACAAATCTTTAATATATTACACACTGTTTTCAAATAATGTAAACTAATTATATGTTTTGAATTCAAAACAAATTATGCAGAAATAGCATATACCTTTTAGAGATGTATCTCAAATTTTTATTTTTAGTCCAAAAATCAAATTAATTATGATTAAACAATAAAAAGAAGAATATGAAAAATTTAGCAAAGAAAGAAACATTAATAAATTTGTTAAAATATATTTGTAACTTTAGCAGCAAATATATTAATCTGCAAAACTCACAGTATGTATTGTATGGTATTTAAAAGTAAGCACACAAGAATTTGGAACATGATTTCAATGAAATGAAATGAGAATAGGAATTACGAGACGGGATGAGAGGGGAACATAAATTAAAAATCAAACTAAATACCCAATTGGTATGAGTTCAGGCTATGAGCACTATATAAAATAAATTTGTTTATATTCATAACCCTGTACGTAAGTTTTCAGTTACACATATTCTATTTATGCCGAATACTGGACCTTCATATTTTTATTTCACGTATACGAGACGGGTTATGGGACCAAGAATTTATGACGGATACAGGACGGGATAGGTTTCCCGTTCTAAAATAGTTACGTCTAGCTAATATACATGAAATAACCAAACTCAAACCGAATCTATATCCTATTTAAAACATGTAATCAAACTATTAGAAATGTTTTGATTAGTTTAGAAAATAAAAAAGTAACATCATTTAACTTTTGAAACTAAATTATATCTTAGTTTTGTCTTAAATATAATTTCGCACGTACGTGTAGGTACGGATCTTAAAATATAACTATGCACTAACGCAACTGAATTTCGTTCATTACTCTAATTTTATAATATTTATACTATTATAACGTTCACTAACACAACAAAATATTTTATATTTTTAAAATCTATATAACAATTTCTATAAAAATATCTCTGCACGTACGTGTGAATCCAGATCTAATACACTAAAATATATATCAAAGAAACAACGAAATAATCTATATTGAATTAAAATTTGTTAGAACTTTTTTAAAAATATGAAATCCCGCACATATGTGCGGGTCATGATCTAGTATATAATTTGCATAGAAACTTGAAAATGACTCTATTGTGAAACAAAAAAGTTTACCCAAAACGACTTATATTATATTATGAAACAGAGGGAGCACAAACCTGGTTGATGAAAAGAACTTTAAGATTAGGAGAATTTTGTAGCAATCCCATTAGTGATTCCAACCAGTCTAACTCAGCTAAAAGTGTTACTTTACACTCCATTAGCTTGGAAAAGATATTAGCGTTACACCAAACAACCTACAATAATGGCAATAACACATAGATAACTGCTAGTTATATAATGGGACAATAAAAAAAAAAAAAGTGAGGTTGAAATAAAGCTACACACCGTTGCAGTTCTCAAATCTAGTTCGAAATTCATGACTGAGGAAATAGATCTCATAAACTTATCATCAGGGTAACTTAAAAAACCGATATTTGCTTTATCAAAACAAGGCTTGTTCTCAATCGAGCAAGAATCTTCCGAATAATCTCTGTAGAAAAATTTCTTTAAAGCCGGGGAATCTATAACCAAAGATCCTCCTATTCCTTCGTTGTGCACTCCAAAAAAATTAACATTAACATATATCAAGCATTCCAAAGATGTGACTTTTATATTGAAATTTCTAACGTTGTCCTGGTGATGTCTTTTTACCCATAAAAGTTTGAGAATAGGACAATTCGATAAAAGCCTAACAAGAGAATCTTCATCTTTATACACCACACAGTAAAGGGAAATGCTTTTAAGGGATGAGAGGCAAACCCGAGAAGGATCATCCACGATAATATTGTTGGAAAGATGTAGTTCAACAAGTGTATCACATGTGTAAAGGCTCTTAGACAAACTGGCCGGTTCCGCGGACCATGTGATCATCAACGTTAGCTCGCGCACCCTACGAGCAACAGCAATTGCAATCCACTTTCCCACATCAACATGATCTCCAGAAGGACCGAGTTTTATCAGTAATGATTCTAATACATGTGCCTTGTGGAGTTGTAACGACTTGTCAATAAACCGCCATAAACACCGTTGTTGTTGCTCACTTTTGTCAAATAAACGGCCAAGTAAACGACCAAATAAACCACCAGTAAATACTTTGTGAGTATCATCATAGTACCCTAGTCTTGGCACCATCGTCCAAATAGACCGCCATCGTTTTGACAAAATCATAGTGGCCACTACATCTTTCGTGCCCGGGAGAAACAACAATATATGCATGAGCAAATCATCCGGCAACGCACTGATCCTGTCTTCACCTCTAATTCTCTGACAACAACGTTTGGCTCTGTTCTTCACAAATCGAAGCCATGTTTGTTGTAATTGTATAGATATCGCATAGGCAACATGCATTGAGCTGAAAATTAATAAAAGTCGTCCCAACATCTTTTCTAGCTGAAACTACACCAATGTTTCTTCTTTCTCTCGTTAATATTTATTAGGGTTTAGGGTGAGATATTATCTCTAACCTTTTTTTTTTTTTGTAAGATATTATCTCTAACTTTTCTTATATCTTTTTGTAAGATTCTTTATTTTCTACTTTCTCTCGTTTCAATTTATTTTTTAACACAAAATAAATAAATAAAAAAATCAAATTTCATATGCTTAATAGGTCAAAATATTAAGAATTAAATTGAATTAATTAATCACCGCACGCATTCCAATTATCCAACGCCGGAGAAGATCAATGTGTGTCATTTCCTCCGGCGAGAAAACACAAACAGAGGAAAAAAAAAGTGTCTTCTTTTTTCGTCCGCGAATAGAAAAAATGTCAGCTTTGTGTCCTGTCTGCAATCTCACGCTTCCTCTCTCCCTAATCCAAAGGTATCAACAACCCCTAATTTCTTCTCTCTTTTCTATATGATCCTTAGTTTCATCCATCATGGTCTTGATGTGTCTGTCTGGTTATGGCGGAGGATTTGACTCAGCCATGTGAATTCCCACTTCGAAGACGATGAAATCGATCCACAAATCGAAAGTGACCACCATTTGGCTCTGCAACTCGCTTCTTCTTCTTCTGACCCTTCTCCGTCTTCCTCTGCGTCATCATCTGTAATGCTTTCTTAAAACCCTTGAATCTTCTTTCCTCTCCTGCGTTTGGTTGCGTAAAGAAAACCCATTTGACAAAGTTGTCTCTTTGGTGCATTTACAGACCAAGAGTCAATTCTACAGTGTAGGTCATGGTGGTTTGATTTGTTTGCTGAGGAACTGTTTGGAATCAGAACTGAGATCGAAATCGAAACCTTTAGAGAGTAGTACTAGTTTACTATCAGGCTTTGTTGATCATTTTCAATCTTCAATGGAGGATAAAGGTTGGGGATGTGGATGGAGGAATATTCAAATGCAATGTTCTCATTTGCTTTCTTGTAGAGTAGAAGCTAAAAGAGTTCTCTTTAGTGGCTCTAATTTTGTTCCTGATATTCCTTCGCTCCAGCGATGGCTTGAGTTAGCTTGGAGCAAGGGGTTTGATGTTTCTGGAGCTCTCCAGTTTGATAATCGAATCTGTGGTTCCAAGAGATGGATTGGAACTACTGAATGTGCTGCGTTGTTACGTTCTTTCGGGTTAAAAGCTATGATTGTTGATTTTGCTCCTAAGAAGTCTAAGTCAATGTATCTTTCAGTTCCTGGTTCTGCTATTGCTCCCAAGGTAAAGTCATATGGTCCCATGGACAGATATGTGGTTAAAAAGGGGGGAAGTGGGAAGGGAAAAGCAGTTGACTCTCATAGCTCTAATTCTTCTAGGATCAGCAAAGGAGCGGTTTTAATGGAATGGGTTTGGAATTACTTCTCAGATAACAGATTAAATGTTTCTTCCGGTGTTCATATGACGAACAAAGGGTAGGTTGTTCTGTTTCAGTTCTTGGTCTTGGAATGTCTTTTATAACTTCAAAACACATTACATATAAGGTTTGTGAGTTGATGTTATCGTGTGTACTGCAGGCCCTTGTATTTCCAACATGAAGGGCACTCGAGGACAATTGTTGGGATTCAGAGACGGTTGCTAGGAACTACATTTACTCCTCAGTACAATCTCCTGATTTTAGAACCGGCTGATGTTAGTATACTGTTCTTTTTAATGATTAGGGAACTCAGTGACGACATGTCTATGCATGAACATCAGCTTTTACTTGAATCTGATTAATGATTGTGAGACTTGAATGTGAATGCAGTTTACTAGAGCTATAGAGAAAGCGCTTATAGAGAAGAGAGGATGGGAGGGATATCTTAAAAGAGGAGCTCACACATTGACGAGTCCCGAGTATCAGGTCTCAGCTTCGAACTCTGATATCCATCATTGCTTTGTTATTTGGCAAAAAGTTGAGTGATTTGATCTGAGTGTGATTGGGAAATGTTATAATGATATATACATACAGATGTTGTACGTTGATAATGGAATTGCTGATGGAGAGGAGTTGGAGAAGCTCAAGACCATTGATAGTCACTTTGTTGAATTCTAATTGCTTTCATAAAAATTGAAGAATGGTTCTTGGAGATTCGTAGATTGATTGCAGTTGTATACTTCTGTATCATATGCAACATTTTGTAATTGCTAAGGAAAAGCTCATATAACATTGACATTTTATATATTTTGCATCAGAGTGGATTGTTTATATAATTCATAAGCATTTCTCTTTTTTCAAGAATATGTTAGAAGTCAGACTACTAAGACTTTCCGAATGAAAGATTATTATGGTTTGGATGATAAACAAGTTTCAACAGTCAATATTTTGCTTTGAATTATTCAGAGTTCAGACACTATGTTTCTTTGAACAGTACCAACTTTGGATTGTTGTGAAAACTACTAAGAGCATATAAGATGTGGCTATTTATTAGAAACATTGAGAAAGACTAAAATGTGAAAATACAGAATGGCAATTTGAGATTTTTGTCCAGAGATAGCATCTTCATCACCACACCTAAAAATAGAAATGTCTTTTTTCCAAAAGCACTTAAACTAGAGAGAATGAGTCATAAAGAAGAAAAAAAAGGCTATAGAGCTTTTTTCGATTCCCCCAGTTTGGTGATCCTTTCTTCCTCTGGGAACAAAACTTTTTCATGTGTGCCTCAAATGAACAACATAACCTCACTGTTGCTCTTCCATGGACTCTGAAAATGGTGACATTTTAGAGGTTTTGTTGGTTATTTAAGAGGCAGATGCAGCCACCTTCTTCCTCACAATCCTTTTCCGCCTAGCCTTTGGAGGTGGAGGATCTGAAACTGAGTCCTCTTGCTTCTTCCCCAGTAGCCCTGAGACAATTGCATTCTTTGAGATGAACCATCTTGAAGATGGCTTTGCTACTGCTTCCTCTGACGGTCGGTTGTATGCTTTTGCCAGCAGATCATCTGACTGCGCCAGTGGATCTGCCTCCACACCTAGCCATACCTGTCTTGACTTTTCCCCTAATTGAACATTCATAATCCTGTACCACATCCATCCATATTCATCAACGTTCTTGATCCCCAGAATAAAGGTTTCCTAAGTCCTAAGACAGAGTTTTACAATACAACATCCAAACGTCCCACATGTCCTGTTTATGTATGTTATGGACATATGTGGGAGAGGAGGGTGGGAGAAAGAGAGGAATACCTCAAGGCAGTGCCGAAGAAGAGTGCAACTCCTATGACATCAAAGTGGCTGCTCACTCCTCTTTCAAATCCACATAACAGCTGATATCTCAAGTTCGCATATATTCCAAGAAATGCACCATAACCAAGAGCATTTGTGCTGATAGATGGGACCGTCACAGATACTCTGTCAGAACAAAGGTACAACAAGTTAAGCATGAGCTGGAAAAAAAAGCAGACATGCTGCCCGAGTGAATCAAGAGATTTGTAATCCTAAGATAGAAACAGAAGATCTGTGATGACCTGTTCTTCTTCTTTCCTGCCAGAAAGTTTGACAACGAACCCTGGAGAGTTCCTGCTGCGAGTCCAAGAATGGACAACTCTGCTGCCTTGTAGAAAAGAGAATGAAATCTCTTTTGCAAGTCGAACTCTCTAAGAGGATAGCTCATTTCAAATAAATTATTTGGTAGCTTTTGTAGTGTATTTTGCAGGTCAAACCGGAATGTGTTTCCATAGGAACGACATGGAGCTAGCAACCAAACAGCAGCTGCATTGCATGCTGATACAGTAAGAACATTTATAAGTGCAAGATCCCATTCCTCTTTTAGTCTGCAAATCATAGAGTATGCAATTTAGGACACGAAACTAGAAGCTACAAAACCTTCAAAGTTTAGGTAGATGGACAGGAACATACCTATTCTTACGATTCTTCACCTCCCACCAAACCGAGCATCCAACCGTGGCAGCTTGCTCCAAAAGAAGTTTATAGAGAAATGCAGGATCCGCCAACATCCTACACAAGACAGTCACCTTAGTCAAGACTGCATATAGTCTAACATTATAGAAACTTATAACTTAAGAGACAACGAAGTTTACATGGACAGATGGATTCTCAGAAGAAACCCTAAAATTACCTGCCAACAAAGGCCCTCGACAATCCCTGAGGAAGAGCACGGGAGATCATTCTAGTTGTTGTAGGACGGGCATTTATAGCAAGGAATTTCACCATTTGTGCTGAACTGACCAAACCCTGCATACAAGTTTCCGTAAGTTCAAGTATGTCAGCATCGCAAAATCACCATTTCATAATAACAGAAAACGTAAAGGATATCTCACCATTTCATATGCTTGACGGAGACCAGCAGGTAAATCCATCATTGTTTTTTGCCATTCGTTCAACACAGCATCAACAAATTTCCTATCAAAAATCTGGACAATAACATAAATGCTGTTACTGCGTGACACCACGACAATAAAATACATGAAAAAATCAACAGAGCACAAGCATAAAGATCACTTACCTCTGCGAGGAACATCCTACGCCTAAAAAGTCCATCATCATCTCCCTCATCGCCATCATCAAATTCATCAAAGTAATCATCATCATCACCATTATCGTCACCTCCATCGCCACCACCATTATTGATACTCTTTCCAATGTTTCCACCACCTCCTCCAGTTGCAATCTGTAATGAAACATGAAATAAAAATTCACAAAGCTACTCTTTTCTGATCGGTGGAAAATAGATTCACTGCAAACTGTTATCTCCAAGGAAGATATCATTACTAAGATTTTCTGGAACTACTTGTCCAAGAACTTGCATCCGCCCATTATCGTAACACAATTTTCAGCTACAATATGATTCATCTCCTTGATGTTATCTATAACAATATAAAACCTCCCACTTACTTCATACTAAAGAAATGATCAACTTATCCGGATTAAAATCAAGTTATTTTTACTTAAGAGCAAAGAAGCAGGACTAAAATCTAGCAGTTCACAAACACTGTTACTTGCTACTCATAGTTCCCCACGAGTAGACGATGGAAAGAAAACAAATTCTGAACCTCCAAGAAGA